ACAGGGGGCCGGGGTCCCGGGTGCCGACCCCCGGAACCCCGGAACCCCGGCAGGGTCCCGGGGCCGGGGTTCGACAACCCTGGTTGTATATGTAGTCTGATACTGAGTTGACAATCCACCAGAATGAGACTCGTACTCCAAATTCTTGTTCTGTTGTTTGTGTGAGCATACCACAATGAGTTTTGACCATTTGTGCCATTTTCTTTAGTGTGGCAGCGCAGATATCAGCTAGTGGGGAGAAGATCACGTCCGCCGCGTTTGTTAGCCATCTAAATGTGTTCTTATGTTTCTTATATGTTGCCATTAGGTAGGGTAATTCTGTACTTTTGATAGGGGCGTAGGAAAAGTTTCTTTCTATGTGATAGCAGATTGTTCTAATCAGTTCATGTGTTGTGCATTCACAGGGTGTGAAGTCTGTTCCTGTGAGTCTGCGTAGTGCAAGGTATGTAATGAGATTAATACAAGTAAAAGTTGGGGTGTTTGGTGCCTTGTCAGCGCCTGATATGTGGAAGTGTTGTGTCAGGAATTCAATTTCATTTTTAGTGTTTGTTTTTTCTAGATCAAATGTGGTTGGTCTATGAAAACTTGCGCAGCTATTGTTTATGATATGTGCGAGTCGTTGTTGTGCCGCTGTCAGTTGTTCATCAGATATGATCATGCTTTCCTGATTGATTATTTGGACTGTTTTGTGTAAGGCCTTCTTGTATTCCCTCCGGATCTCATTTTGATTGTATGGTTTGAGTGGGATATGGTTGAGTCCTTTTTCGACCTGGCTTCTCAACTCTAGGTTTCGTATTATGTTGGCATCTAGGGTGATGACATGTGGTTGGATTGCGTCATCTCCGCAACTTTGGATGAACTGCCCGTATCTGTGATGTTGGCAGAAGCATGTTTGGTCTTGTTGTGTGTACCATTGAGTGAGTTCGAAATTCTTGAATACAGTCGCGGGTTGTACAACTGTTTGGCCAGGTGGTTGTCATATGTCCATCCAAAGGTTATATTTTGTAGTCTTTCTGCTGCCTGTGGGTTGTGTTCGTGGAGTATGTTAGTGAACAAATTTTTGCTTTTTATTCTTTCCATAAGTTTGTTTGCGTAGTGTAGGTGTACGATCTTCTTGCGTGGTTCTACATCTTTCCTCCAGCCCCTTCGTCCAGCTTCCATGACTTGTAAGTTGTTGACCTGTTTAGGTAACACAGACAGTTAGTTTTTGGTGAGTATACCATTTTTTATTGTTTTTATGAGTGTATTTCTTTGCTGATTGCAAAAACGTTGTAGGCTTATATTGGCATCTATAGTAATTTTTTATTCTCAGGTTGAGGTTTTATGTCTGGGTTTTGCCTTTGTGATTATATTTATTTGTAATTTATGGTGGAGTTATGAAGGAAGGGTAAGCTTAGACGGTGGTTGGTATGTCTTTCTAAGGGGTACTCTAAAAAAGGTTATAGTTTGCATGGCGTTGGGGGGATCTTCTTTGGGTTTAGGACTGGAAGTGAGTACAGGGTATGGAGTAGTAAGGTAGGCATGCCGAGACAGTGGTACTTTTGTATCAGTGCGTTATTCTTAAAAAAAAAAAAAAAAAAACAACAACAGGGGGAATCAAATTTAAAATCAATATAAATAAGATTTGTATGACCAAGGCATTGAAGGCTCTGCGCTTGGCAGACCTTCTTGCATTGTCTGTCGAGTACACAGGCTTTCCTAATCAACTGGGTAACTTATCAAAAAAAAGGTGCTACGGTCGAACCATCTGAGTGGGTCTTCGACCGAGGACCCAGGCTATTTACTCGAGAACCTCAATATTTTGTAGAAAAAAATGGGGGTGCTAGAACTAGCCTGCCTTATAGGATCACCGATTGAGTACCTGAGCCTTCTAGTTACTGTTGCCAACTATCAATTGCAGCCTGTAGTCTAGAGGTGTGAGAGTGCTAATCTACCACTATCGTAGTCATTGCGCAGGTTCCTTCCGATGGACTTGCTGTGAGCGGAGCCTTCATTGTTGCCTATGTTGACTTCACTGGTAGTCTCAGTACCAGACCCAACGAGGGAATCTTCAATATCGAAGTTCTTGAAGATGTGGCCAAATGTGCTGATTGCTTTGACTGGCGTATCCGGAGACGGTGATCCGACGTTGATAGCAGTCTGTCGTCCGACGCCATCTTCTATGTCTTGGTCCGCGACATGGATGACCTGGGCTGGTGGTGGTCGTGTATTCACCTCTTGTGTCTGTTGTCTGACAATCTGGATGCGTGTGGGTAACCAGCTGAGACTGCCTGCAAGCCTGATTGCTTAGCCAATTTGCAGCGCTGTAGGGGGCGATGAGAGAGTTGTGGGGAGTCGTGTGTTTGGCAGTGTGTTTGGTAGCGGGAGGAGTGGTGGTATTGTGGGGTTGCTGTGCACGGGAGCCAGGACGTTGGTGATGAATTGCTGGGCTTGCATGTGCTGGCTGGTGTTTGCCTGGTTATTGTTCTTGCGTGATCTCGTGTTTGCTCGTCGTGCTGCATTGCGATTGGTTCTGCGTGGTCCGTTATTTCTTCTTGCTTTTTTYTGTGGGCGTGTGTTCGGGTCGCTGTGTTGATGCGTGGTATGGTTTGGTTGGGGGTTGGGTGCTGCGCTGTGGTCGTGGATTGTCGGGTGCTGCAGGGGGTGGTTTTGCACGGTGGGGGGATGTGCAGATGGGTGGGTCGCAGTTGCTCTGAGGGGACGTGCTGTAGCCTGTGTGGCCGGTGCTCGTTGTGGAGTAGCCGCGTGGCTGTGTGGCAGGTTGTTTTGGGCTGATGTCGTGGTTGTAGGAGTTCTCGAGGTTGAGGCTTGTGCAGCATTTTTGGTTGGTGTGGTCGAGGCGCTGTTGCCTGTGACTGGTGTAAATGGCAGCGGTGTCTGTCTTGATCTGCTCATGTGTGCGATATCTGGTTCTGCTGCCATGGCGCCTCTTCTGCTGCCTCCCGCCGTTGCCGGTATCTTGACAGGGGCGTCAGGGAACATGATGCCCGCAAATATGTTCGCAAATGGCACATTCTTTAAAGTTGGATGGTTGGTAAGTCCTTCGACGGTGGTCATGTTGTTATCGATGACTCTGTCGAGCAGATCTCTCATGATCTGCCTCATGAGCAGGAAGGTGACCTGTGCCAAGATAGGTCCCTTCCATTCCGTCTCCAGTTTCTGCTGGAAATCAAGCATCCGCATAACATCTGTTGGTGCCACTGGGTCGAAGAAGTCTAAATTGGTGATGTTGTACCATATCATGTGGTCAAACCAAGTGATGGTCTCGCCACAGTTCTTCTCACGGGTGCAGTTGAGATATGGTCGGCCGATGTTACACATTTTCTTGACCTCCTCTAAAGTATGCGGGATCTTGGTGAAGCTTTTCTGCGTAAGGATAGGCTTGGACACCGCGCACTTTGTTCTGTCTAGAATGGCCAGTATGGGGAAATCTTTATCAAAGGGAGGTCTGTTGGTTGGATAATGCAGTGAGAAGTTATGTGCTGCATGTTTGCATGCCTCAATATCAGCATCAAAGAGATTGGCCTGTGCCCTATATCCTTCGATCGAGATGGGTGCGGTGTAGTTGAAGGAATCTAGGTGCCATAGCTTGTGCGCAACGTGCTTGCTGTTCTTTTCTACGCAGGTATCGGAGGCAATCGGTAGAAAATGGTTATTTTGTGCGAACTTGTGGGCTTTGCCTGCAGGATCTATCGTGGTGGAGGCATTGGCAGTCACAAAGTTCAGTCTTCTCTCGTGCTGTTTCTCCAGATAGTCTATCTCAGCCTGTGTCAGTCCAATTCGTTGTCTACGTGCCTGTCTCCTTACATTCACCTCAGTTGAAATATCAATGGCTCCAACATCATTCAGGTGATCTTAGCAGTAACCAAACTTATCCAACATTGCCTTCTCTCCTTTAGCAATGACTCTGCTAAGCTCTCTATTCTGTATCCTATTCATGCTGAGCACGACGGCCACATTGAGCGCATATGCTTCAATGAGTCGGTGCATCTTCTCTGGCTCTGTTTCATACTTAGCGCTGATGACAACCCAATCACTGAAAGTGAGTGTCTCAATCAGGCTGGTTGGCTGTGCTCCTGCGTGTAATCGATGAAGGATGTCTTGTGGGAGTGTCATCATAATCAGCTGCGCGTGGACAATCGGTGGTCGCAGGCTGGCGAACGGCACAATCATGGGTGTCAGATCTGCATGCCACCCGCGATTGATGATCTCCTGATCCTGTACATGTCAACATAGGCGCGGTTGTATGGTTAACTTTGGTTAGCTATGCCTTGCGAGTATTGGTAGCTAGGAGTGTTGGCTTGTGTTGTAAGGTTTTGTTTTTGAATTTAAAAAAAAAAAAAAAAAAAAAAGACTCACCATTATGTGGGGCCACAGTTTCCGTCTGGTTTCTTCATACTTCTCAATTACGCCCTACAAGGATCCGGAAGAAGCACCATTAGTTTGCTTTGTTATTTTCAAGCCGGGAGTCTGGTTATATATAATTAGGGGTTTAAGAGGGTTTTAAGGAGGGTTTTATTATGCCATGGGCAGGACAACCCAGGGGGGATTTATTCATTGTTTCCCAGAGCAACGATATCCAAGTATTTTAATCGGGGAATCCCCATTCTCTCTTGTATCGTATCAGTGTATTAGGCGAGGCTAGGGGAAGAAGGGGAACAATTGAAGAAATAAATTAAGTAAACTTTTCTCTTTTTGTCTAAATGCGGCCACTTGTCCTTTATGTGTCTATTATTTTCGGGGGTACATATATGGGGTTGGGTGTCTGTTGATTAAGCAGTATCTGTTTTTGTGTGAGGGTGAGGCTTGTATGGGTCTGTTCTGTTTATTATAATTTTGTTCCGGGTATAGATCAGTGACGGTCGGTTTATTTGAAAATGTTATTTTTATGGAGGGTCACGTCTCTTCGGTCAGCCGTGTCTGGTTTATCTTTTACTTGCGTCTACCTGTCCTTTGTGTATTAGTTCTTTTTTGGGGGGGAGTCCCGATGGAGGGTTGGGTGTGTTTTTATTAAGAAGTGTTGTTTTTTTTTTGGTTGTGTGGGTGGGGTTTGGGGGTTGTATGGATCTGTTTTACTTATCATCATTTCGAAGAGTGGGTGGGTGCTCTATGATTTTTGGTTGTAGGGGTTCTTTCTGGGTTTTTTTTCTGGTTTTGCTTTTTGTAAAGGATTCAACCGACAGTCGGGTATTTATTATTTACATGGATGGTCGCGTCACTTCGCGTGTTTGTGTCTCGTGGGTAGTGAAGGTATGTTTTTATACCTTTTGAGATGTGTCGTTTGTAATTCTGACTTGGCAGTTGTCAAGTCCAGATCTTGGTTAGGTGGGGACGCATCTGTTATTATCTTAATTTAACCATTGTTATCATTTTTCTGTTTGTTATGTAGCGTTCTACTATATAAGTAGGTGATCCTTATAGCGTAGGCTACAGGTACCAGGGTGGCAGTGCTTTGGCGTTTGTGCATTAGGTGGAGTGTGTCGAGGGAGATCGTGGGATCGTTGCTGTTACGTGCTTATTTTCCTGTGTAGCTTTGTTCGGGTTTTTGTTCGCTATGGCGGTTTCTCTAGTTGCACGGGGTCATGTTGGTGGTCGCGTAGTCATGGCTTTCAAGATGCGTGATCTTCGGGACTTCCGCATGGGTCGTGTGTTTGAGTTTACAGGATCAGTTTCACGGCACGAGATTCGTCATTACGAGATCGATGCGCGGGGGGAGTTGTCCTTGCGTCTGGTGGTTGGGTTGGGCTATGACGGGGAGTATTTGCGTGATGTCATTGTGTATGTGACGAAGGTGGATAATGATGTTCCAGACCGCCACGTTGGTGCCACCGTGGACATCGTCGAGTGCATGGTGCGTCTGGTTACTACGGCAATACTCTCAGAGCATGGTGATTACCTATCTTCAATAGTGGAATGGGAAGCAATTTTGGATGCGCCATTGGTAGGCCGTGGCTATATGCGTGGCGTGCTTCAATTGTAGACTGAGGTGCATGATCTAGTGCTATAGGTGGTCTACATGGTCAAGTAGCATCTATGGTGTATGTGACGAAGGTGCACGATGATGTTCCAGATCATCACGTTGGTGTAGGCGAAGGCATCGTCGAGTGCATCTGGTTACTACGGCAATACCTACAGAGCATGGTGATTACCTATTTTCAGTAGTGGAATGAAAAGTAATTTTGGACGCGCCGTTGGCAGACCGTGCCTATATGCATGGCAACGTTTAATTGTAAACCAAGGTACATATTCCAGTGCTATCGGTGGTCTACATGGTTGAGTAGCATCTATGGCGTTATGGGGATGGACTTGCCTTTTATTGGCAGTAGCATCATTGTTGGGTTGTTATATCTTGCGCAGTGTTTGCGACGAGACTCTTTAGCTGATTAGTTGTGTGATCGTTTTAGCATTCATGGGTTTGTCACCAGCGGGTTTTGCGAGTTCGTAAGAGGTTTTTTGAAGAGGTGGTGTGTGAGTCGTTTGTTTACTTACCTTCTCTTTTACGCGTGTCTCTTATAAGGAGCGCTCGTAGCTATCATGCTACTCGATTGTTTTTTGGTGTATGCGGCATTATGAATTTAGATTTTGTTGTTGGAGACGCACTAGTGTATGTTTGTACATGCTGACAGGTTTGTGTCGTGTTTTCAGGAAGGCGGACGTTTGTATGTGATAGTAGTTTCGCGAATTTTGTGTTCTATGTGTGCGTGATGACGATACTTATTTTCGATGGCATAGTAAGGCGCACGCAAGATGCTAATGCTTGTGTAATTCATGTATTTTTCCTATGGAATCAATTAAATACGGCGCCTTAAGTTATGTTCTTCCTCTTGTTAATTACGTGATGTCCCTTCGTCGAACGTAGTTCTTCACATGCACTTCTATTTTCCGAAGCACAACTCATCTAGGCAATAGGTGCTACTGAGAATAACTAAGTGAGTACTCACATTTCGTAGAGAAAACCAGATGTAGGTTCACGATGGTTTCCCTCCGTTCAACAAAGGACACGCACTATTGCTACATTTCTACGAATTTTGCAACGATAAGTATTTGCCAATTATTAGGATAGTCTGCGGGAATAAATATTAAATAAGTATATAATTAATAGTAAATTTTAATAGATACTAATAAATATAATGACAGACTATGGTCCCAGGAATGAGTTCGTCACTCCAGGTGTCTTTCATGCATGCTCCAAAAATTGATGTCGTACGCAAGGGCAACATCGGATATATGTACTACTAACCGATAATGAAGTATGAATGAGGAACAAGTTTACTAGTTATGTATTATATCTGGCAAGACACAAGTTCATAAAAAACTCGCTTGGTACCGACGCTCCAACAATTCAAATGTATTGGCATACACTCAACAAGTTTTTACAAATGCTTAGCGTTTTTACGACAAAGTAAAAAAACTTTTTTAATTGACAACCCCTGTTTGTTTGGTTGTCTAATACATTACTTTTTAATAATAAAGGAAAAGCGAACAATTATGCAAACAATAATTGCACTTATGTTGTCATACGTGCCAATGTTGTCTTGTGCATTTACCTCCGCGTATTCGTGTAAATATATGATCTACTATCATTGGTCTATCGCAAGTGAGCTATCGAACAAGGAAGGGAGAATATTCAATATTGTATCGCAAGCTGTTACCCTACTTCTTACATTAGTTCCGGTTAGTCAAAGGTATGTGGAGAGATTGCCGAAAATAGGTGGGGCAACTGTACTATCGTTGGTGTGAGATTATATATTGTATTTATTTAGGATTTAATGACTAAGTGGTTGGTGTGAGTTTATAGGTGTCTGGGTACATGGGTGTCGATATGGGGTTATGGTCGCCCGGGGCGGAGGCGAGGGTGGTGGTGGGGAGGTTGCTATGGGTGCGTTTGTGTTAGGTGAGTTATATTAGGAAAGAGGAATTTGCGGGTGGTGTGAGCTTATAGGTGTCAGGGAAATCCGAGGTTATGGTTAATTATGGCGGAGGGGGGGTAGTGGGGATATTGATAGGAGTGCATCGTAGCAGGTCGAGGGTGTTTAATCAGGATTACAAGTCTGAAGGTAGGTGTGGATTTATAGGTGTCAAGGTAAGGAAATATAATTTCGGGGCTATGGTTGAGTGGGGTGGAGGATGGGTTGAAAGGAGTATGTCATGGATAGGCGGGTGATTATTGTGGATTGTGTAAGCATTTCGGCCGTGTATCACAGGATCAATCATGACAAGTTAGCAGTTCCAAGCATGTCGTGTCAGATGCAACGCTATTATACTCATACTGTCAGGAGGGGAGTCTACCCACACCATTGTATTAGGGCTAAAAAACCAGTCTGTGTTTCGTGTGACAAATTGTAAAGCAATTTAACAACCTGGCTTAGCCAGGTACAATATTGAACATAATAGCATAACATTGTGACGATCGAGCAAAGTTCCCTGCTATTTCATTGCATGGTTCACCTTCGTACACCTACAACCATACCCAGCCATTTCCTATTTTCACATTGCCATTTACCACTAAGCATACATGTGGGGTGAAAAAAGAGGGGGAAGGGGAAGGGAGGAAACGGTGGAAGCAGAAAGAGAAGAAGGGGTTAGGAGAAGATGACACTTCTTCGACAGGACCGATTTCCAGATTCAAAAAAGGAGGGCGGCGCATCCCTTAAGCGTTTTTCGCCGTTTGTGCCAAACGGCTCATCAGAGGGAATGATGGGCTATAATCCTAGCGCGGCCTTCTACATCACCTGGACCTATTACCAGTTGAGTAGGGGCGACTCTAGTAGCCTATGCGAGATTTAGAGGTGAGAGTTTAGAGAGGGAGGGAAGGGATCCGTTGTGCATCTAGGTGGCCTTCTACATCTGCTGAACCAATTACCAGAATGAGTAGGGGCGACTTGGGTAGCGTTAGGACAGAAGAGATAGGGCAAGGTGAAGTAGGATGGCATTGTGGGAAGTAGATGAGGCTGTTGGGATATCTTTCGAAGTGTGTACTATAATGCAGGGTCAAGGGGGTTGCAGGGTAAGGCATCCGCGGGTTATGGGGGTTGGAGGAAGGTGAGCGATGGTTACCGCATGTGCGTTGATGTCTGCATCAGTGACATGTCCGTCTGAGGCGATTGTTGACATTGTCAAAAAAGCTTGGGCTGGTTCGCTAACCTGCAGTTAATGTCTAACTGCGGGCTCGGAGCGCAGCGCCAAGCCAAGGCTCTACCTTGGACACGTCGTGTGCCCGAGGGTTTGCCTTGCTTGGTGGTAGTGATGAATGCAGTGCGAGGAAGGAGCTTGCGCTAGGTCTGCCGTAGCTATCTCAGAGCGAGGTACGAGTATCTTGCAACCTTGCTGGTTATGCTCTCGCCACGTATAAATGCAGGCGGTGTGTGTTTGTGTTGGTTTGTGGGGTGGTGTTGGCTATGCGTGGTGTTCTACATGTTTTTACTGTTTGTGCATAATTATTTTTGATATTTTTTTGGTGTGTGGGGGGTGTTTTTGTGCTATTGGTTGGATGTGTGGTGCGCTAGGCATTTGTTCTGCCCAGGGGGATTGGGGTTAGTGTGTGTATTTTTGTGATTATAGCTCAGATATGGGGTCAGTAGCAGATGGTCTACGTACCTTTGGCTAGGCGAAAATTCTTTTTTGTCTAGTAATGTCCTCGATCGTTTTTATTTTATTATATTATATTATTACAGACGGTCTACGATTTATAACGTTTCGGCGGGTTGTCTTTTTTGTTCATAGTTCAGGTCATGGCATCATATGTTGTTTTTCAAGTCTACCGTTAGAGTGTGCTCGTGCTAGTAGTTTGTCTTTTTGGAAACTTTCGTCGTATATGGGTTTCTATGTTTCTTTTTTGTGTGGGGGTGTACTGATGTATGATTCAGCTTTTAGTGCAGGTGTGCGTACTTGTGGTTATTTTGTAGGTGACAGGGTGGTGTTGGCTGTGCGTGGTGTTCTACGCGTTTTTACTGTTCGTGCATAATTATTTTTAATATTTTCTGGGGTTGTGGGTGGTTTTTTTTTATACTATAGGTCGCGTGTGTGGTGCGCTAGGCATATGTTCTGCCCGGAAGGGTTGGGGTTAGTGTGTGTATTTTTGTGATTATAGCTCAGATATGGGGTCTGTAGCAGATGGTCTGCGTACCGGGCTAGGCGGGAATTCTTTTTTTGTCTGTTAATGTCTTTGATCGTTTTATTTTATTATATTAGACGGTCTACGATATTATAACTTTTTGGCGGGTTGTCTTTTTGTTTTTAGTTCAGGTCATGGCGTCGTATGTTGTTTTTCCAGTCTGCCGTTAGTATGTGCTCGTGCTTTGTTTTTTTTTTTTTGAGGGTTTTGTCGTATATGGGTTTCTATGTTTCGTTTTTGTGTAGGGTTGTACTGGTGTATGCTTCAGTTTTAGTGTCAGTGTGCTTACTTGTGGTTTGTTTTGTAGGTGACGGGTTCTCATTTCTTGTTTCTTTATTGGGCCGTATGCAGTTTTTTTTTTTTTTTCTTGAGGGGGTGTTTTCTTTTGTGTAGAGGCTTGTTTTTATTGTGGGATTCTGTTTAATACGTGGTGTTTTTGTGCTTGTGTTAGTGCGTCTTTCAGGCCCTATGGGTGTGAGTGTGTGTGCGTGTGCGGGTGTCTGTTAATCTTTCGTAGTTTATTCTGTGTAATTATTTTTTTTATAAGGGTCCGTATGTGTAAGTTTCGCGTGTATGTATGTGTGTTTTGAGTTGGTGTATGCATGTAATATATTTTTTTACTCTTTTTTATGGGCCTAAATGTTTGACAATATGCATATGTGCGTGTTTGTAAGTGTGTGTTTATTCTATTCATTGTGGGTCTGTATATACGTGTATATGTGTATGTGTGTATGTATATGTGTCTAAAAAATAAAATAAAATAAAATAATACTACTAATAATAATAATAATAATAATTATTTCTTATAGGTTTTATGTGTATGAGTATATGTGTATGTGTGTGTGTGTGTGTGTGCGTGTGTGTGTGTGTGTGTCTGTGTGAACGTGGGTGGGAGGCGACCCTGCCCTCCCCCAACAATCAATCAATCAATCAATTAATCAGGCAATCAATCAATTAGTCAATCAATTAATCAATCAATCAATCAGTCAATCAATCAATCAATCAATCAATTAATCAGGCAATCAATCAATTAGTCAATCAATTAATCAATCAATCAATCAATCAATCAAT